GCAGGCAGACTTACCAAAAGGTGATCCGTGCGAGGATGGATTCGTCGGAGTGATAGTGTAAGCATCTCAGGCGTAGTCAGGCAGGCCAGAGTCAGCAACAGTAGGCGGGCAGCGAGGCACCGGAGGAGCAGGCAGAGAATAGTCAGGGTCACAAGCGGCGCTTCAGTTAACTCATGGGCAGCGCAGTACAGGGGATCAGGGCAGAAGGATGGTCAGACAAGCCAGGGAATTCAAGCATGGAGGAATGTCAGCAGAGGTCAGGATCAGGCAGGGTCGGCAACAAATCAGATAGTAGCAGAACAGGAACACAGGATGCAGGTACAGGGGCTCATGGGAAACAAACACCAAGACCCTGAACACAGGCCTGGCCATTCCTTAAATACACCTGTGTAATCAGTTTCAGGTGATTGCTCATTGTAGGAGTGAGCCTCTGGTTGCTGAGAGCACCCGCTGGCCAGCCCTGGTACTGCAGCCCACAATGGCAGGTGCATCCCACCACTATTGGTGAGTCCATTCCTGGCAGTACCCCCCCCCCCTCAAGGAGCGGCCCTCAGGACACTCCAAAAACAGTCCCTAGTGGGCAAAATGTTCCACCGCCCGGATCAGGTAACTGGCTGGCTATCTTACTGCCGGAGTCAACCGGCTGGCTGGGTTTCCTGCTGGCAGACTTCTCTTTATGTAGGGGAACCCAGGAAGGCAGGTCGCTGGACACAGGATTTCCAGGAGCAGGCTGGGAATCAGTTATCAGGGGCTGGCACAACAGGCTGCACAGCGGACAGGCACGTCAGGCCTGCGCATCGGGCGGAGGCACGCCAGGCTGGGCAGCGGGCGGAGGCACGCCAGGCCGGGCAGCGGCAGAGGCACGCCAGGCCCGGCAGCGGGCGGAGGCACGCCAGGCCCGGCAGCAGGCAGAGGCACGACAGCGGGCACCGAGTCATCGGGCAAGTTAGCGGGCACAGAGTCATCTGGCACGACAGTGGGCAACGAGTCATCTGGCACGACAGTGGGCACCGAGTCATCTAGCAGAACTGCAGGCACCGGGTCACCAAGCTCGACAGCGGGCACTGAGTCAACTGGCACGACAGCGGGCACTGAGTCACCGGGAAAGTCAGCGGGCACCGAATCATCGAGCAAAACCGCGGGCACTGGGTCACCAAGCTCGACAGCAGGCACCGAGTCATCTGGCACGACCGTGGGCACCGAGTCACCGGGCAAGTCAGCGGGCACCGAGTCATTGAGCACGTCAGCGGGCACCGAGCCATCTAGCAGAACCGCGAGCACCGGGTCACCAAGCTCGACAGCGGGCACCAAGTCACCGGGCAAGTCAGTGGGCACAGAGTCATCAGGCAGAACAGCGGGCACCGAGTCATCGAGCAAGTCAGCGGGCACGATCCATCTAGCAAAACCGCGGCCACCGGGTCACCAAGTTCGACAGCGGGCACCGAGTCATCTGGCAAGACAGCGGGCACTGAGTCATCTGGCAAAACAGCGGGCACTGAGTCATCTGGCAAAACAGCGGGCACCGAGTCATCGGGCAAAACAGCAGGCACAGAGTCATCTGGCAAGACAGCGGGCATCGGGTCATCAAGCAAGACAGCGGGCACCGAGTCATCTGGAATCGGGTCATCTGGTTCGACAGCAGCACCGAGTCATCTGGCAAGACTGCGGGCACCGAGTCATCTGGCAAAACTGCGGGCACGAGTCACCTGGCAAGACAGCGGGCGCCGAGTCATCTGGCAAGACAGCGGGCGCCGAGTCATCTGGCAAGACAGCGGGCATCAGGTCGTCAAGCTCGACAGCGGGCACCAGGTCATCTGGCAAGACTGTGGGCACTGGGTCATCTGGCATGACTGCGGGCGCCGGCTCATCTGGCAAGACAGCGGGCATCGGGTCGTCAAGCTCGACAGTGGGCACGAGTCATCTCGCAAGACAGCGGGCACCGAGTCATCTGGCAAAACAGCAGGCACCGGGTCATCTGGCAAGACTGCGGGCGCGGGGTCATCTGGCAAGACTGTGGGCGCCGAGTCATCTGGCAAGACTGCGGGGCGCCGAGTCATCTGGCAAGACAGCGGGCACCGAGTCATCTGGCAAAACAACAGACACCGGGTCATCGGGCAAGACTGCGGGCGCCGGGTCATCTGGCAAGACTGCGGGCGCCGGGTCATCTGGCAAGACTGCGGGCGCCGAGTCATCTGGCAAGACTGCGGGCGCCGAGTCATCTGGCAAGACAGCGGGCACCGGGTCATCGGGCAAGACTGCGGGCACCGAGTCATCTGGCAAGACTGCGGGCACCGAGTCATCTGACAAGACTGCGGGCACAGAGTCGACAGGCATCGGATCGTCTGGCTCGATCAGTTCAACAGGCTGGGTAGGAACATCAGGCTGGGTAGAGCCATCAGGCTGGGTAGAGCCATCAGGCTGGGTAGTGTACACTGGGTCATCAGGCATCAGGGTATCAGGCTGAACCACGGAAGGCGGGTTCTCAGACAGCAGACAGTTTGGATACTGGCAGGATGGTACTGGTTGGAAAGAATTTTTCGCCTTTTCCTGGTTTTAGAGCACTGTAAGTAAGTGCAGGTTTGTAAACAGATAGAGCAGCTGTAGGCAGAGAAGAGCTGGGGGATGGAACAAAGGAAGGAGCAGTTGCTATAGAGGACTTCTTTACAGGGTTAAAGGCAAGATAGGTGCAGCGAGTGGGAGCAGGCTACGGACAAGTGGTAGGTAGTAGGGTATACTGGGCTGTCACTGGGGGTGCTGTTGGGAGTGCAGGAAGAGTGCCTTGAGCAGAGGAATGACGTTGTAAGCTGACTGAGCCTAGGTGCAACAAGTCTGACCATGTCTGCAGTACTGGCTGAACAAAGCTCCGCTTACACAAAGCCTGTCTGACCAAAGACTGCACTGCGTTTATACAATCCCTTAGCACCTGTTGTGAACATGCAGCATAATGCTCTAAGAAGCAAAAACACATCATCCTCTCTAATAACCATACCAGGGACTCTATCTGGTCTGCACTAAATGGCGGCAAAAAGTCATTCCTGCTTTCAGGGGTACCCAATGAAGCCAACTCTGCACAAACCTGAATCAATGGCTGCACCTCAGAGAATTCTGTGCCCTGATCTACTAGAACATGAGCAACCCATATACATTCTAGCAGTTGATTCCTGGTATACTCCCTCAGAGTCTGATAAGCATACTCTCTGTCATCAAAGACCAGCAGAGACAAATACACTACCTCATCAGGATCCATCCTTCACAACAAGCCAAGATGGCTTCCCTGTGCAGCCACTTTTGGTCAGGAATGGCCTTGGTGTAATGTCAGGGATCCGGGTATGACCAGAAATGTGTGAACTGACCCAGGGAAGTAGCAGGCTTCAAGAACACAGGCGTAGTCAGGCTGGTGAGGTGGAATGGTCAGGCAGGCCGTAAGGTACTGTCAGGTGCCACCTGGCAGTGCCTCTAGTAGCCCACAGCATGGATTTCCTCAGGGCGCGGGGTCTAAGTCCCAGCCTGCTATTCACCAGGGCCCCTGATGGTGGGGATGGACTTGGTGCAGACTGGAACCAGGTCGCGACCCCTGAGTGCGTCCGGCTGTGGTAGAGAGTACTGGCAGGGGAGTGCAGGAACAGAGTCTGATGGGAAGAGGCAGGCAGACTTACCAAAGTTGATCCGTGCGGGATGAATGGATCGTCGGGTGAAGTAAGCGTCAGGCGTAGTCAGGCAGGCCAGGTCAGCAACGTGCGGGCAGCGAGGTACCAGAGGAGCAGGCAGAGAATAGTCAGGGTCACAAGCCGGGTTCAGTAACTCACGGGCAGCGCGGTACAGGGGATCAGGCAGAAGGATGGTCAGGCAAGCCAGGGATCAAGCAGGAGAAGTCAGCAGAGGTCAGGATCAGGCAGGGTCGGCAACAAATCAGTAGCAGAACAGGAACACAGGATGCAGGTACAGGGGCTCATGGGAAACAAAACACCAAGGCCCTGAACACAGGCCTGGCCATTCCTTAAATACACCTGTGTAATCAGTTTCAGGTGATTGCTCATTGTAGGAGTGAGCCTCTGGTTGCTTAGAGCACCCGCTGGCCAGCCCTGGTACTGCAGCCCACAAGGCAGGTGCATCCCACCACTATTGGTGAGTCCATTCCTGACAGCTCCTCGAAATCCTTTCGTAAATTGATAAGGGAGCATCGTCTCTTTGATGCTGGTGGATTCGACATCCGACCCCCACAAACAGTTCACCTTCTACTCCACACCTCACCGCTGCTACTCCCCACTAGATCATTTCTTCATTTCCGCTCCTCTCTTCTGCTCCTAGTTTCCTCTGACATCAACCCTATTACATGGTCTGACCACGCCTCCCTGACCTTAAATTTGTTATTCCCCAATGTTATACTAAAATCAGGTCATTGGCGTCTCAATGAGTCCTTTTTAACCACGGAATATCTCCATGCTGAGCTCTCACAGGAACTTGATATGTATTTTCAACACAATGTAGGCTCTGTTCCATCTACCTCGACCGTATGGGAAGCCTTTAATATTTGAAAAGAATCTTGCGAGCCCAATATAAAAATTCCTGTTGTTGGATCGCACACCTTTAACACATAACTACCAATGTGAAAACCGTGAAAATAAAATAAATAAGGTATTGCGCTCACAACACTTCCATCTGTGCATATACACAAAGAAATGTGTATTATTGAACACTAATGACCATATTTGTAAATCTTATGGAATCATTTAAATGAACAATATACAATGAACAATATACATGAAACCGTGAAAGAATAATCTAATAAATGAAAATAAAAAATATATATATGAATCTGTTATAGTAATAATATCCCACAGTAACAGTGACTTTGTGCTGAAGAATCTTCAATATTATCAAATAAAACAATATATATGATTCTGTATAATAATAATGTCCCACACAAACAGTGAATTTGTGCTGATGAATCTTCAATATATATATAAAAAAGGTGACTGCTTGTGCCTCCTCCCTTAAGTGAAGATATGCGCTCACCTCATGAATAGCCTGCAATTAGGCTATTAACGCTTGCGGTTCACCTCCTTTGGAACCTACTAGTTTTAGAAACTCCTGTGTGAAAGATATCCATAGACTGCGACATGTGATGTAAAAAAAGATCTCCTCTCATGGGGTGTCACTCCAGTATCTTCCTGACTCCTTGCGGTTCTCCATAAGTAAGAAAAAATCTTGACATGGTGTTTTATCGTTTAAAAGTTTTAATTGTGCTGACAGGTAGCACTCACATAAATTCGTATAGTGGCAGTACAAATATATTGCAAACCGCCGCTGGCTGCTGGAGCTGTGTTCTCGTGGTCCGATTGTCGGACTGGCTTCCTCCGAGTGACGTGCACTGTCCCACCCCTACGCGTTACGCCACTGGTCACGTGGCTTCATCAGGGGGATTTGATTGGCCAAGCTATTGACCCTAGCTGAATGTAGACTTCTCGCAAAGCCGTCTATTCCTAGGCTGTATAAAGTGACCTCCCTACGTGACCAAATCAAAACCCTTGATGCTTGTAAGTCCACAAAATCTCTCCTCTGGGTTAGGCAGAAATTCTACGAATTCTCTAACAAACCCCACCGTATGCTTGTCAATAGACTTAAAGCACAGTCCCCTTCTAGATTGCCTGACCATCTTGCCCAGCCGAATGGGAGCCCTACTTACGATCCTCGTGTGTGATGGTCTCCCTTTTTGGCTCATACTATGAGTCCCTTTACAACTGTTTGAGCTCAGACCTCTGCCCTCCTCTTACAGAAACTTCTTTTGATAGGTTTTTCAATCCCCTACTAATACCAAAGCTATCGTCTTCTGACATTGCGGCTCTTAACGCTGACATTACACCTGAAGAATTATTTGATACGGTCAAACATCTCCCCTCACGCAAAGCCCCGGGACCAGACGGACTTCCCTACTCCTATTACAAGACCTTCATTGGTATCCTAGCTCCCCATCTCCTTTCTCTTTATCACGATTTTTTCAGAGGTATTGTTCCCCAAGCTGACTTTTCCCGTGCATATATCTCTGTGATTCCCAAACCTGACAAGGACCATTCCATCTTAGATAATTACCGTCCTATTGCTCTATTGAACTCTGATTACAAGATTTTTACTAAGATCCTCGCCAATTGGTTTTCTAGGCTTATCTCCAAGCTCATACACAGAGACCAGGTTGGCTT